CTTGTAATCATTTTTAAGAAAACCAATACATTTTGAAATTTTCTCTTACTTAACAATTCTATTATATATTGGAATAACGATTCATCAACATCTTTTAATGATACCCTCAAAGCATTTCAATCTTTCATAAACCTAGTGTTCTTATTAAATTTGCAGATTCTTTATAGATTAAATAAATACTTAATTATTGATGCAAGCTGTTTCTTTTCATTTAGAGTATATTTTCTTTGGAGGATATCTTAAAATAAGGGCTATTTGTCTATCTCTTTATCTTCTTTAAATTGGTTTTTTTTTGGAAGACTTCTCAATCTATGTCTATTACTTTTTCCTTACACCATCAATATCTTAATTGTATAGAGCAAATTTTAGATTTTGTTTTCATTATTCTGGTTGCATATTCTAATTATGAATTTCCTAATGTAGTGAAGATTTTGCAGCATATTCAGAAGTTATAGAACTAAAATGAAAAGTTTAAATATTTCATAGATTGAGTTGATTTTAAATAGATCTGAGGAACAATATCTCAATTAAAGGTTTCTTATCTTCCCTGATCCTTTATCTACTATAAGTAGTAATTATTTAATGAAAATCTATTGGAGATTCTAACTTAAATATAACATTTTTAATTATATGTGAATTAAGATTTAAATAAATTTTTTAATTTATATTGTTAAAAATTATTTAATCTAAAATGATAGAAAATGAGAAAGAATTTCATTGTTCTTTGCAGCATAATCTTCCTATTTTAATGATTGTTTGTGATACAAATTTAAAAAAAGAATCAAAGGCTTCTATGTTCTAAATGCATGGAAAATTTCGATTAAACAACCAGATTGATGAGTTTTAATAAAGTCTTTAAGATGATTGAGGAAAATTAAAAATAAAAGAAATAATCTGTCGACAATATGATTATGTTCATTATCAATATGATTGAAGAACTCTAAAAGGATCTTATGGAATTAAAATCTAAAGCAGTCATATAATTAGATTAATTAATTCGAAATGTAGATGAATGGATCGGAAATGTAAAGTTGGTTGGATAACAACAAGTTACTTATAGTTTTTATGATTAATTAGACAAACTAATTAACTAGAATATTTTGGAAGAACTCAATCAAAAATCACTAATTGATAAAATGAATTAAATTTAATAATCATATAATCAAAAAATTTAAATGAATCTGAATTCATTTAAACAATTTTAAAAATGCGAAGAAATATTAAAAAAGTTAAGAAATATCAATGAAACAAGAGAGAATATAAAAGAGTAGATATAGAGTGAAGTAATCTTTTAATTTATTAATAGAAATAAGTGCAAAAAATTTAAGTAGACAATGAATAGTAATAATAATTTGAAACATAATTGATGAAGTGTAAATAAGTTGAATTTAAATTAATTGATTCGAATAAATAGAGCGGTTAGTGTTTTGCAATAGTGTTCAATGTAGAGGGATCAATTATGGTTTCAACTGAGGAGAAGACTATTAAAATATGGAATTTTTAATAAGGTAGGTTGAAATTAATTGATTCTTATAATAAACATACAGCATCTATTAATTGTATGGTTTTTAGCAAAAAGACAAATAACTTTATTTCAGGTAAAGATAAACAAGAAATTATCTGTTGGCAATAAATTAATGTAAATAAGTGGAAGTGCTCGTAACCAAAAAAATAGCATAGTTCTAGTGTTGAGTGCTTATTAAAAATAAATAGGAGGATCAGC